TAATCTGCTGTTCGTGGATAGACAAGGCCCCTGACTGAACTGCGCAGCCCGAGTTTCAAAGTGCAATTGAAACTCGGCCCCTGACTAAACTGCTAAAATGCAATTTCAAATGCAATTACAAACTGCTTTCATGACTGCGTGTAGTTACCCCCCCCAAAAAAAATGGCACTGTCACATTCCCCGGACGGGAAGGAGGTCGATGTTTGAAAGTGCTGCAAAAGGCGGCCGTCTTCTTCAACAGGAGAATCGACAGCTGCCGCTGTGAGGCACCTCTGTGGCCGCTTCATGTGAGCTCGGAGGTCCACAACTTTTTGGTGCTTGCAAAAGCTGCAGAAGCCCTCCGAGTAACAAAGCACATTCTATGCGTGTATGGCAGATAAATTTCTTGTTTTCTTTTCTTTTCTTTTTCACTGTATTTTGTATGTTCGCCAAGGTAGATGGTTGTTTTTTTTTTTTTCTTTTTTTTTCTTTTTTTTTTTTTTTTTTTTTCCGCAGTGCAAACCTGCTGGAAACCGGGTCCAGCGTCCCTTGATTGTACAGCTTGAATACAGTATGTGAATAGGAATAAATAAGAAACAAGATTGTCACTCACTTCCTGTCAACAGAAACTGAAAGAACCACGCTTTGCCAAGGTAGATGCATTTCTCTTTCACCTTTCTGCTTTCTTTTTTTTTCATGCGATCCGATTTTACCGTAGGTCCTCGCTGCACCTCACTATTCTCCACCGGCACAAAAGGAAAACAATATGGCGCTGCATAGTCCCATCTTCTAGGAGAAAGTTCACTCGCTGCACTGCACTACTTTCCAGATGCAGAAAAGTCCCATCAGATGGAGAACATTAATTATTGCTGGTGACAGTATCATTCTAGAAAAGAGCAGATTTTTCTATTTTGCCATTGAAAAAAAATTGAAGTATGAGAGGGGCTTGGTATTGACCTGTCAAGTACTCGCAGATTTTTGTTTCTGGTTTTCGACAGCCGCCAATCACAAAGGGACTTTCGACTTCTCTTTTCCGCATCCTGTCATTCACAAAAAAAAAAAAAAAAAAAAAAAAAGAGAAGAGAAAAAAAAAACATAGCTTTTAAATACACAAACATCTTGGTTTTGTTGCCCTCGGATTTCGATCGATGCACCAAATGATGTCCCACAGACGTCCACACATGTTGTCGTGGGACACTTTACCTTACTCGTTTGCTGGTACAACCGCGCCCCAGTATATCTGTGAGGTGAAATTGAGAGAAGAACGTAGATAATGTAAAATAAATAAATAAATAGACATATAAAATAAATAAATAAATAAATAAACAAATAATAAATAAATAAATAAATAAATGAAAATCGAAGGAGCCTTTTCAAAAAGTTTGGGGAAATCCACAGATTCCAACAAGACTGGCTGGGGGATTCCTCACGGGAGAACCTGGGGCGAGGGCCCACTAGCAAAGAGGATTGGATTGACCACCTGAATCTGGACTTGTTTGTGGAAATGTGCAGGATGTCGAGATTGAACTGCGTTTCAGCGTCTCTGCTTAAAATACGTCCAGATTCAGGATATTTATCCAACCCTCTTTGCTAGTGGGACCTCACCCCTGGGGTGAAGTCCCACCGCCCAAGTTTAGTTTAGAAAACGCAACGGTGCGACAGCATTTTCACATATTTATAAATGCTGCAATGACAAAAAAAAAGTTTCAAGTAAGATTGTTTGTAGGACTCGGAAGATATTGTCATAGATTTGGTGGAGTGCTGACACCACCGGTTCCGCTTGGAGCGGCTTTCGGTTGTGGATTTGTGGGGTCCACAAATTGAACTGCGTCAGGATGTATGTGAACGTGTACCTCATGAACATTCGAAGGACAGCCCCCGATATTCGTCCCTGGCTCACTAATCGTTCGTGGGTCCGCGAGGCCCCGAACCGCGTTTGGCCAACTTCTGTACATAAATGCAATGCGGAAGTGAAAACGGAGACACGTGGAGGGCGCACACCGCTCCTTTGCGACGCAGGGTAACGGATTGAATCCACCCTTTCCACCCGTTGTTCCCCGTGACGAACGCCCGTGGAAGTCGTTAATGTACCCCAGAATGACATGCGGGAGTGAATCAGACGTGATTGAAGTATGAGGATGTCATGTCCCCTCAAACCCTTGCGTTTTCTCGGCTGTCTTTTGTGCACCGCGTCCACTCGCAAGTCCGTGTGTTGGAGTGTTCTCTTTTGGGGGGGATCCGCTTGCCGTCCTCTGCAAGCGCCTTCGACTTTCGTGGTTCGAGGGCGTCGAATTTTCTCCGACTGTGGGTTGCTGCTGGAGTCGTGTGGGTGTGACTGTACGCACCGAGGTGTTTCCCGTGTTGGAAGATCCGTTGGGTTGGGGGGAGGGGGGGGGGGGTTTAGATACGTGGTTAGTGGGGTCATTCTGCCCGTTCGAAGGGGAGGTACTTAAGGGCTGCAGAAACCTTCTCCCCAATTTCCCCCTATCGGCCTCGAAAGGGGTCTTCTTGGGGCATGGGGAAAAGGCGGAAGATGATTGACAATGCAATTGCCGCGGCCCTCGTCTGCGTAAGGCAAATGGAGGAGGACGCTTGGAATGTCTTTGATAGGTTATGGGGTACAGGTCCATCTGTTGGCAATCCCACCAACGGTCGCACAGGCAAACGGAGGAGGGGCAAAGACAATGGCCTGCAATTATCGATGACACACAGATCATTGCACGAAATCCGCCGCGATGGTGGGTGATGCGGAGGTCCGCAGGGTTGTGGAAGGATTTGGAAATCGGAGACGATGCAAAGGAGGACTACTACTCCACTCTACTGCAAATGAAGTGTTCGACGTTCAACCGTTTGTTGTGAAAGCTGCATCCCCATTTGACGAAACAGACGACGAATTATCGACGTCCATTGCCACTGGCGCAGCAGTTGGCGTATGCGCTGCACCGTTGGTCCCATGGGGACGCACACCGCCACTCCACGACCGCGTACGGGATGGGAAAGACAAGCGGGTTCTGTGCTGTCCGCGAGGTGTCCGAGGCCATCATTCAATGCTATCCGGATGTTGTGCGATGGGGTTCATACGAGGAACGACATGCAAGAATGAAATTCAAGGCCTTGGGGTTCCCCAACTGTTGGGCCTGCATTGACTGCACCCATGTGTACGTCGATAAGCCTCGACGAGGCGATGGTGATGCGTACTGTTCCGGTAGAACCAGGCGGTTCAGCCTTGTTGCTCAAGTTGTGTGCGATGGGGATTTGCGGGTACTTAATTTTTGTTTCGGCTTTCCGGGGACCGTCGCTGATGGCCGAGTGCTACGAAACACGTCATTGTGGCAGCATGCTCTTTCTGGGGACCTGTTCGCAGATGACCCGAATGACCCGACCCGGGAAGAAAGGCCTGTAATTCCCGGTGTTCCCGGAGGTTATTTGCTTGCGAACCAGGGGTATCCAAGTCTCCCGTGGCTCGCGACTCCTAATGGCCATCACCGTGCTGTGCGGCGCATCCATATCTTTGATTCCCTCTAGAAGATTGTGCGTTCGACTGTTAAGCGTTCTTTTGGGGTGTTCAAAAAGCGGTGGAAGATTTTTTTCAGGCCCCATGTGACAGATCTGGAGATAGCGGGGGACGAGTTTGAGGCATGTTGCATCCTACACAATCTGCTATTGGAGTGGGGTGATTTCCTCCCCGAGGATGATGACATGTCCGATGACGATTTGGATGATGTCCCCGGTGCCCGCATGCCCGACGGTGAAGCTGGGGGGATGTGAAGGGATGCGGGCATGCGTTTTAGGGAAGTTCTGTGCACGGAGGTGAACCGTTTGTATGAGGAGAGATTAAGAGGACGACATTGACCCTGTCCTCGTGTCGTTTCCTTACTTCGGAACGAATTGAGTTCACTGTAAGTCGTAGTTTAGGAGGAGTTTTTGTGCCGCTTCGCCCCGGATCACGCTGGGTCCGCGGCTGGGAGCTGTTAATGGTGGACCACAGTTTTGGAGAACGAGGGAGTGATGCAGACTACCGGTCTTTGCAGAATGACATGGTGTTTGACATTGACACCTGTCTGCGCGATCTGTCTACACTCCATCATTACCTTATTGGGAGAGGTGACTCCATCACCGTTCGCATCCGCAACGGCCAGCAGAGATGCGAGACGGATGTTGATGAAGCACATGAGAACGCACGTCGATGGGCCGGCGCTGTCATGCAACGCCTGAGGAACGCTCGTGCGAGGTTTGTCCATTGGTTTTCGCGCGTCGTAGATGAGTACTTGGGATGCAGACAGAGGTACGACGACTGCAGGCGGATGCTGTTGGAGAGTCGCATGGAACAGCAGGAAACAAATGACAGTCTTCGGCGGGCTCATGCAGAACGTGACGAAGCTTCCAGGCGACTGTGTGCAGCAGAGACGGCTCTACAGCATGCGGAGGAGCAAGCCACAACCGCGTGGAAGTTCTGCGACGAAATAGTTTATGGAGGGAAGGATGGTGCGCACCCGAAAGTTGAAGACATCTGCGATGGAATGCATGCATTGATGTATATGGGAGTGCCGATAACAAGGGGGGTGGTCGGAAGGGGCATCAGTTGGTCCGACAACATCCGGTGCTTCGTCGAGTATGGGCCATGACTGCCCGAGGTGTGCTTCACTGGAGGAGCGTGTGGCTGAGCTCGAGAAAGAAAGGTCCACCCTGAAGTTCGTTTCAGAACTCCATGCTGAAGGTCCGCAATTTTGGGATGATGTCTTTGCGGATGTTGACATCAAGCTGCCTCTTCGGAAACTTGGAGAGAGAGAGAGAGAGAGAGATTGCAAGAGAGAGAGAGAGAGAGAGAGAGAGAGAGAGAGAGAGAGAGAGAGAGAGAGAGAGAGAGATTGCAAAAGAGAGAGAGAGAGAGAGAGAGAGAGAGAGAGAGAGATGAAGTTGTTTGTTGGCTTACAATTTTTGGTGCAGTTGACAGATTTTGAGTGGGTTTATCGACTACCACACTTTCGATCTCTGTTATGTTTGTCGTCCATAACTTCACTTGCTCTGAAAACCGTCAAGATGTGTCCGTTTCAGCCCCCTTGCTGCCACCGTACGTCGAAGTCCAAGTGTGGTGATGTGACTGTGCTGTGATGAATAGTAAAGAATCTGGCATTGTAAAAAATCTCCCAGAGCGTCTACCAGCTCTCGGACTTCCATCGTCATCTGCACTGGTAGCACCATGTCTTGTGCCCGTGGGCTGTGTAAACCCGGGGGGGCCTTCGTCGAGAGTCGGCGAACGACTCCCTGAACCAGATTTGTCGCCGACTTCCCCGTCTCCCTTCCTACCTCCGGGATTCATGTTCCCTCCAGAATCCCTTAGGTGGTCGAGGTTAACGGTTTCTGTGTCGTCCTCGACTGGGTTTATGATGTCATACCACGGACGACGCAATACATTTGACGCTGTGAGTTGTTCATGTCCCAATAGCTGGGCCTCCCCGACCGTTTCTCATGTCGCTTCACTGACTTGTAACAAGACAAAACAAAATGGAACTTGTTCTTGCATTGCTCAGAAGTTCGCGTGAAACCCAATTGCTTCAACCGCTTACTAACAGTGGGCCGAAACCCCCTCATCTGTCTTGCTCGTCCGAGTGCCTGCGTATCATCACCCATAGCAAGCTTCAGCTCACACCTGCGACGTTTCATCCTCTCCCCAACGGTCCTTGTTCGGCTCCATGATAGGCGTATCGTCACATTCATCCACTTGTGGACCACCTCTTTCACCATTTGCGCCCTCGACATCTCCTGCATTGCTTGTGGCCGCAGCACTTGCATGCCCATGACCTTCACCAACCCCATGTGTTGGAGTGCCATGCGTGTCTGCAACAGGAAGCACTAGCAGTTCATCCACATTGCCAAATTCCACATCTCTAATAGCTTGCTCAATGACAGACAACCTTCGTGCAGGTGCCGCATGTGCACCGTCCGACCCAGTCCGCCCACCGATCCCACCATCCGAACCTGTGCAAAGGGGACTAGTGTTATGCCAAAGCACTCATGTTCCTGAACCCGAAAATCCCCCGTCCATCCCACATCCACGCAGGTTGGCAGGTGGTGTGACAAGGCCAGCACGGCCTTCTTCTTCATCAGATGATCGATCGTACAGATGGCCACTACCCACCACTCCTCCATCAGCAGGCGGATGACAGTCCTTGCCTGGCGTGTAGCAGACAGACGGTCGAACTGCGTGAGGAGAGGGGTGAATAGCCTGGTGCGACACCGACGACACGGCGTTAGGAGAACCCCCAGCCCCTGCAACGTCATCCTCTGCCCCGAGTGATTGAGCAATCAGAGGTGAAATGCCTGATCTTGCAAGGCCCAAGGATGGCACCTGGCACCCAACCATTGCCATTGCCCGTAGTCGTAGCTGCTCCCTCAGGGCGTCCTCGTTGCTGCTTGCAGTTCCGAACCGTAGTGTGACCAGTGGCGTTACAGGAGGAACATACTCACCAAACGCCCCGAATACAGCACGCGGAGTGAGACACTGCTGAGTCCCATCGGCCTGTATCCCCAAATGCGGGTTCTGACTTCCCTCCATCCACCTGAGGCCACCGTCCTGGTTGTAAGTCCAGTCGGTTATGCTGGACAGTCCGAAGGGTTGGCTGTTGCCACCCCTGATGTAAGGCAAACGTTCGGACTTTCCTGTATTGGCTATGTCCCCAAACGGCAAACTCCTCTCCGCTTCCAAACGGTGACACTTCCCCAAATAGCTGTGTCCCGAAAAGGCAAACGATCCCGACAGTCCGCCGAGCATTGACGGTACGGTGCGGCACGCGACGTGACCCAAGGGCGTTACAGAGCATACCAAGCTGCAAGGCAAGGGCACTAAATTTGTGACTGAAACGCCATGGCAAGAGCTGTACTACGGAAGTGTATCGTCCCCACCCATCGCAAAGCACGGTTCAATACGATGATCGCATTTCTCCATGTACGGCTTTCAGTTGTGATCGACTCATGGGACAGTCCGTGATTGAGGACGTCGCTCCGGGTGGAGGGCGGCGTCGAATTTTCCCGTGGCCTGTTCCCATACGACTTTTCAGTCCGGATACGTATGTGCAACATCCTGCACGTCACCACTAATTCGAGTAACATTTTGGGGCTAACGATAACGTGAAATTAAGCGCTGCATGTTACCCACTAATTCGTCCGGATACAGATGTACAACACAACCGCATGCGAGTGGAAACAGTCACGCCCTATACGTCGGATGAAACAATAAGGTCCTTGATGCCCCCCCATTTCTGCCTTCTTCGTCCACATTCACTTTGCTAAGGCGTGATGTATGGAAACGTGCATGAACACTGTCAGACGGTTACAGGGGAGCCGCCTATGACGGGACGGCGCGCCGTGTACGTGCTTATGTTTTCGGATTTTCGATCGGAGTGGACCTCGCGAGCGTGTTGCGGTACGTTGAGTTATCTATCTTGGGGGGGGCAGGGTACATAACTAAACCTATGCGGGCAAATTGTATTACCACTTATTGGAGGAAAATATCATAAAAATTACGTACCCTACGTCTCCCAACAGAGAAATTGGCTAAAAAAAAACAACAATTGTATCACCATACGATCGACACGACCATCGACGGCTTCGAATCGTCACCTCTTGCCACACGTACTTCAAAACTCCACGATGCGTTTTCTAAACTAAGGCAGTGGGACTTCACCCCTGGGGAAAGAGAATCGGTCAAGTGGGGAAGGGGATGGAGTTTTCTTTTCTTTTCTGGGATAATTTGCGAAATACCCCTATAAGTTGAGATATAAGCCAAAATGCCCCTGAAAGTTGTGGGTAGAGTGGAATACCCTTTTGAGCCGAAATCTTTGAAACTCCCCGTTTGGCCCTTGGCCTTTTGCAATAGCGCCTAGGCGAAGTTCGCAAGTACTGAGGCATTTTGCAAAGTTGGAAGGTACCCGGTAGGGGTCTATTGCAAAGATGGGGGTCCAACTGATGCCAGGGGTATTTCACCAATTTTTTTTTTGTCAGAGGGGCATTCTGCTCTACCCACATCGATTAGGGGCATTTTGGCATATATCTCAACTTATGGGGGTATTTTGCAAAAAATTACCCCTTTATTTCAAAGGCCCGTTTGGGGGTGGGAATCCTCCTGATGAGTCGGTGAAACTCCGACGAAACAGTTTGTCACAGCCCCTCGTTTGTTGTCCTCTTCTCCCTCTCTGCCTACGGTTTACCGGGCAGTTCTATTTGACGATATATATATATATATATACCAGCCCGTATGTGCGGAGGTCCCGGGGCAGACCACCGTACGTACGGGAGTTCGGGGTCCCGTACGGGGTCCGAACCCGACGGCGTTTGGCCCCCGCCAAAAATTCTTTTGGGGCCTAAAAATAGTTTTTTTTTTCTAAATTGTTTTTTTGTTAGTTCTCTATGCCGTGAGGTAAATGCCTATAAAGTTTCAAGTGATTCGGCTCAGCCAAATAAGAATTAAAAATCGCCAAAGATGGCAGTGTCAAAACGTCCTCGCCCAATTTTTTTTTCACTTTTTACTTTTTGTTTTCACTTTAGTTCGGGGTCTAAACAATTTTATTATTTTTTGAAACTTTTTTAGTGGGTTTTGCATTATGTGAGGTACACATCTGTAAATATTCAGGGCATTTAGTTATGCCGAAAACAAATGAAAAATCGCCAAAGATGGCAGTGTCGAAAATGTGTTCGCGCACTCATTAAAGTTTTTTTTTTTAATTATTTTTTTAGTATTGTTTTTTTGTATTTTATTTTTATTTCAAATTTGGTAAGGATTTTGGATGTAATGCTCAGGCAAATCTTGTTTAATTAATTTTTTTTCATAACTTTTTTCCCATTTTTTTTTTATTCTTTTTTTTTTTTTTTTTTTTTTTTCCGGTTCGCATTTGACCCGAACGGCCGAAAGCATCCCCAAGGGATCCCATACGTTCGGGCGTTCGGGTTCAGGCGTTCAGCCCGTCCTGAACGTCGGTTACCCTGTATATATATACATACATATAACTCCGACGAAACAGTTTGTCAGAGTCCCTCGTTTGTTGTCCTCTTCTCTCTCTCTGCCTACGGTTTACCGGGCAGTTCTGTTTGTGACGATATATATATATTTGGTTCAGGGTTGGGCCTAGTGCCACCTCTTGGCATGGGACAATTTTTTTCCTACTAGCCCTTTGAACACCCTGTCCGAAGCCTTTGAAATTCCGGAGAGGCTCAATCGGATTCTCATCTTGCCGGGGGCTATGTACTGGTGGTTTAAACCGCCAGTTCACGGACCCAGCCTTGCTGAAACGAAAACTTGTCGCCTAGAAATTTTTTTGAGGCCCAGCTCGAATAGGCGGCGGGCGGCCTGCAAAAAGGGTCTCCAGCTATTGCTGAATGTACTGGTGGGTAAGCTACTAGTACCTTTCTCAGCTATAGAGTCCGAGCCTGAGGCGATCTACCTGTATGACTAAGGGCGTCGTTCGACACCATTTGAAAATAATTGAGTTTCAAGTGTGCACTAAACGAGAAATTGTGATTAATTTACACTTACTCGATTTATGGTTCCAAGTACACTCGAAGAAACCCTTCCACAGCCTGCACTTCAAAATGAACTCCACGACTTGATGAATCCTCGACCAAGATCGCCTGCTGGAAAAAAAGAAAAGAAAAAAAAGCCCCACTTGGAGTGCTGGCGATATCCGCTGGCACTTGAACTCAAGGCTCCCCGAAGAGGTACTTTGAGCTGAAATGCGAATTTGCCCTGGCTGCACTTGAGTTTCGAAGGGTAGCACTAGAGAGCCGGAAAGTAGAAAGCATTCCGTGGCCAGGTTACAGTGGGGTTGAACGAATAATTTTCCTTCATCCCTCGAGTTCGAGTGGTGTCCAACGAGGGCCTAAGCACACCAGGAAGGGCCGACCGACCGAGTCCAGTTGATGTAGCTCAGTGGTTAGAGCACCGATTGGAAATGCACGTTGTGGTATGAGGTTGTGGGTTCAAAACTCAATTGCAGCCTTGCGCATGGACACTGGCAGGGCGTTAGATTGACGCACGGTTGGACATACACTCCCTTGGGTTGACGCATGGTACTATTACAGACACTGCCTACGCACCACCCAAGGGTTGTTCATGGTGTTGTATGTTTGTTCTGGGTTTCGCAGGGGTTGCTTGGGGGTGTTGGTCTTGGGTGTTCTGTTGATCTCCCTAGTCTGGCATATCACATGTTCGTGCCATTTTCGATAGTCATTCATAAGGTAGAGACAGTCGATTACATGTTACAAGGTCACGGGTTGGAGTTGGGTCGGACTTTGGGGGGGAGTCCTTGTCCAGCTTGCCTCGTCTCTCATCGATATACACACATGATGCTGCCTGTACATGTCAATACATAGATTCACAGAGCACACACACCCTTCGGGTATACACATAGCTCGCGAACTACACAACTATCAGACTGGGTGGGGTCTAGTATCTGCAGTAGGTTCAGGTAAGGGGTTCCTACAGACATTCAGATAGTACTGTCTGGTGGCTATATAAGGCTTAGACCCTAGGGTAAGGGTAGGGATATAAGTCGCTCAGTCCAGTCCGAGTTCCGCCTGGACTTCGGTAAGCTAGGGGAAGGACGGTAAGACTGCTTCAATGGGTGCTAACCTGTCTGAACCTAGGGTCCAGAGTCTCTTGGGGCCTGTAGTAGATTGTCTGGGCCTAGTGTCCGAAGTTCTCACTTCACTCGTCCGATTCCGCTTCCACCAGCGCTAGGCAACCTATCAGCCCTGGTGCCTATCACTATTGTTCGGTCCAAGTTGCCTGCCCATTGTTAGGGTAACGGTCCTGAGTGCTGGTCACACTGAGGTAGGACAGTGTCGTCGTACGGGAGGTCTCTGTACGGCCCGTGCGTACGGACGGACGGACGGCCGTACGGGCGTACGGACGGTCTCCGTCCGAACGTGCCAGGGCCCGGTGTGGGGGGGAGGGGGGGGGGGTGACCCCCAGGGATGGTAGGGGGGGTCTCGAGGGGCACGCTAGTATTTTTAAAAAAAAATTAAGAAAACAATTGGTGGTGGAAAATCGAGAGAAAAAAAAAGGAAAATTAAATGAATTTACTGCGAGAACATGGAAACAATGGAAATATACATTGTTTTTGTGCGTGTGTGCGTGTGTGCGTGTGTGTGTGTGTGTGTGTGTGTTCGCGGGGGGGAGGCGCCCCCCCCACGAACAATCAATCAATCAATCAAGCAACCAATAATCAATCAATGAATCAATTAAAAAAAGGAAAAAAGAAAAAAGGCCACGATCGTTTGTGTGTGTGTGTGTGTGTGTGGGTTCGCGGGGGGGAGGCGACCCCCCCACTGCTAATCAATCAATCAATCAATCTAAAAGAAAAAAGAAAAAAAAGGTCGCGATCGTTTGTGTGTGTGTGTGTGTGTGTGTGTGTGTGTGTTCGGGGGGGGAGGCGACCCCCACACTGCGAATCAATCAATCAATCAATCAATGTTTTGAATGAATTTTTTTACTTTTTTTTTTCGTTTTTTTTTTTTTTTTCCACGATCAATCAATCAATCAATCAATCAATCGACCAAT